TGTTATTTTTATAGAGACAATTTATTGAAGTAAATGCTTTTTTTTTTAATTAAACATTATTCATTACATTTACTAGCTTGATTGTTCGAAAAATTTCGTAAAAAAATATGCATTCTCCGACAGGAATCGAACCTATATACCTGTACTTGGAATCCAACAAAAATTTCGCTTGAGGATGGAACGGAGCCCATTTTACTTTCAACTCAATTTAATTTAAAGGATTATATTGAAGTTTTCGGCTCTAGTTTTGAAACATGAGACCTCTTATGTAGCGATTTGGAATCATATTTTTAAATAAATAATTATATTTATGCTCTACTTTTGTATCGAGCACTATTTTTAAAAAATAATAACTAAAATACTAAGGGACTTTGGATTATTTACCTAACCAGTTCCTTCCTATCTTCTATATATTTTCACACATATATATATATATATATATATATATAAAGAAAAAAGGTTAAAGGACGAAGATCATTTTGAATAAGTTAGAAAATGATCTTGGACACACATATATATATATTTGAACGTTATTTCAATCCTTTGAGTTTCCGATCCTTAGCTATGTTTAATTAATGATGAGAATGTCATTTTCGTTTATGATCGATTTCCTCCCGATTCTACTGTTAAGCTTAGAAAGTAATTATCGGTTCTTATTGCTCAAAGTACAGTTCAATCGGGTTATAAATCCTCGGAGAATTCCCGTAAAATACAGCGGTTCAGAGCTGAATCTAACAATTGGACAATTTTGTTGTTACAAGGTTTGGACAATTTTACAGTTACACCCGATATATATGTAGAGGGGGCAAGTGGGAGAGAGGAGGGGGTACATAGAAATCAACACAGTGTGATGTATGTCAATTTCAGACCTCAGGTGATCTTTAGATGCCTTCAGGAATAAAACGGACAGTCACAATGCAGCATTGCTGTCTATATTCTCACTGTTTATATTTACAAACTGAGTTTTATCCAGTGGGCCATGTGTCATTGAGTGGATAAAGATGTTGGTTAGATCCAGTGACTAGACCAAAGAGTTGGGAGTTCAATACCAGACCACAGCAGTGGTGAACCGAAACTTGGAGAGTTGAATTAAACACAAGATAAACTGAGACATCCGTAAGAGGCATGGTACATGGAACTAGAACAAACTAAATTCGAAATTCCAATCACCTGAAGAAGGCTGAAGCGTACAACAACTGAAACGTTATGATTATGGCAATGAATATGAGAATAACAGTCCGAATAATGTAAATAATGCAAGTAATCATAAGACCTCATCTCAGAGATATAGAGTCCGAAACGTTGTGAATATGGCAATGAAGATGAGGATAACAGTCCGAATAATGTAAATAATGCAAGTAATCATAATACCTCATCTCAGAAATATGGAAAGAAATGTCGAAAAGAAAAGCCCATCGTGAGTGCTTTCGTGAACACAATAACATTAACATCTCCAAGTCAAGGGTCAATTGCCATCTAGCATTCTTATTTTCATTATCTTAATTTCCCCTATCATTTATATCACACATCTCATTCATCATCACCGTTTTAACAGTAATGTTCTACCTCGAGTGGTTCTGTAACAGGTGAATTAATTAAGAAAGGAAAACAAACTCAGATAAAACAGACTGGGATATTTATATAACCATAATATAAACCAGTTTAGGTTGTCTAAGGATCTCATCGAAATATGAATGCTTTCCTATTGATGTATTGATTTTCGTTTAATTAATAATAAATAATCAATAATTATGACAATAATTAGAGCAGACACACATAATTATATTGTGTAATAACAAATGGCTCGCCGCGTGTTATTCACTTTAAAAAGGTTTAATACGTAGAAATGAATAGCGTGCCCACATATGACATCTTAACGGATATTGATATTTCACAAACTGATATCACTCACGATTTAATTAGAAAAGCTTTTATTGCTTTTATAAATAAGATATATTAAGGACACTATTGTCTTAAGAAAAAACAATTTTCGGTGAATAATGAATATTTACAAGAATTCTTTTCATTTCTTTTTAATGTTAGTTAGAAAGACAAGTTTTAAATCTTTTAATTCTGTATTTAGATGATATTATTAAGTGAAAATATATTTACTAATGATAAATGGAAAAGTTTAATAGAAATCATCAAACACCGATATTTTTAAAGGAATTTTGAATTTTTTTGTATGTTTATAAACGTTCCAATTCCTGTAAGTACGGACGACCATACATGATATTAGCAGAAAATAAGAGTGATGACTGTAATATAATTTCTAAAATTCAATAAAACATTAGATTACGAAGAATATTTTCCTAAATTTTTAAGATTACTGAGTACTTGAAAATCATATAAAAAATGCTATCGAGTCATTTTCTTCAATTGTGTTTTACAGATAAAGACTAACATTAGACATGTCATCAGGTTTTCAATACGTCAAAAAGGCTAATATCGAGTTAAAAACAAAACTACTATCGTGTTAATAAATTAATTTCTGTAATAGATTAAACTTCAAGTGAATAATATTTGTTTCAAATCAAATTAATTATACTTTAAATCATCTAATATTCCTCAAATAAAGTTTCAATAAAGTATATTTTATTTTTGGAAGATTTTTTAATAAAGATAATTACACTGCGATAAAAGCCGACTAAAAAAAGGCGCTAATCAGTTATTTTAGAAAAAAAAAACTCCTTTCAATCAATTTAAATTAATTTTTGAAATACAACCAAATATCTTGATTATTAGAAATATGAAATTTAATCTACCAGCTTGATATTAAAACTAAAATAAAAACTTCAGCAAAGATTTTTCATTTTTTAAAATTCATTTTAAATCTTAGGTATGCTGTTTTTTTTGTAGGGGTCCATAGTTAAAACGTTGACTAGCACAAAAAATCAAACCATCCTCCCTCTGTTTTTACACACACACACACACACACACACACACACACACACACACACACACACACACACACACACACACTCTCTCTCTCTCTCTCTCTCTCTCTCTCTCTCTCAATCTCTCTCATATTTTATTTATTAATTATTTTTCTTTTCTTCAATAGGCGTAGACAAATTCGCCTATTTGA